TTTGCTTCCAAGTGGGACCCACCCTGTGGCACAATTCATGAGATCAGGCAAAGGGAGAATGCCACTGAGGTCACAGCCTATCTTCCCCTCACCTATCCTGCTTCCCTATCTGCTTCTTCCCTCAATAAACCACATCTGAATAGCATCTGAATAGGCTCTGCTTCTAGAGAATCTGACCGAATATGTTCAGCCAATCTTCAAATATCTATATAATGCCAACTTTGAATAGAATAGTCCTCATAGTAGTCTTGACCCCTCTAAGCCTCCAGAATCTCAGATACCAAACTCATCAGATCCCGGAGTTCTTTTAAGTCTTAATGTCCAAGGAACCCATGCCTTGAGGCTCTCTGGGCCTGCAAAGGTCAAGAGGGGAAATTAGGGACAGGGACCCTGTCATGACCTCAGCAGAGGAGCTCCTGAGGCAACATGTAGGGGCAAGTTCTACCAGGGGGTTTGGAGTGGGCGCCAGTAGCTCACAAGGAAATGAAAAAATATTGTGCAGTAAGGGTAGGGAAGTCCCACATCCTGAAGGCCTGAGGGAAGAAGGGTGAATAGCCAGGCCCCAGTACAGAGAGTCAAGCAATCCCTGGAGGAGTGAGGCAGCTGTGACTCCAGCTTCTGGTCTCCAGAACCTGAGACATCTGCTGGCAAAGACCAACTTCTCACTCAAGGAACAGAGAGTTATAAGTCAGAGAATGCCTTTGGTTACTTGTTGTAATAGGCACTAGAGGCAACAACCTACAAGGAAACAGGGAGGGAGACAGAGCCATGCACAGAGCCCCTTAGATCCCATCAACGAGGGGCCTGAATGCCCTCCTAGACCAGAATGAAGGTAAAAGGGAAAGAATAACACTCCTTGAGCCCATTCATGTCACAGGTCCCATCCTACATGAGGCACCTGCAGGAAGCCCACAGTGGAATTCGTGAAACTAGTATCCATGGTTTCATATGAGCCAAGTAAGACTCAGGGAAATCAAGAAAATAGTTCATTTTCCCTTCTTTTCTGAAGCCTTCCCATTGTTGCTTTACATAGACTGAAGTCTCTCCCACCTTCAGATAACAAGAGCAAGCAAACAAAACAAAGCCACACTATCTCTGTGGTCCCCTGATCCTCTTCCAGCTGCGCCCTATGTCTCTGCCTAGTCTTCTTAATAAGCCCCAGAGATTTGAGAATGAATTGTCTGCTCCCCACTCTCTTCCTCGTTTCAACACATTCCTCTACTCACAGCACTACACTCCCCACGTTCACACTGAAAATACAAGGCCACCAGAACCTTCGCATGCTGTGAAGCCAAGGCAGATGTCTGCAGCCTTTCATATGATTGAGCATTCCCACCAACTGGAAATGCACGCTTCCTTTAAAATTTCACCTTGCTTCCCAGCCATTCCTTCCACTCACTGCTTCTGTCTCCTTTGAGGCACCTGGTTTATAGAGTTGCCATTGGTGTTGGGGCAGTTTTGCTCCAGTTTGTACACATAGCACCTGGGTCCTGCCATAGAAAGGCATGTGGAGTGGCCAATCAGCCCCAAGGAAGAGCTGTTATCCAAACCCGCCTGGGGCCAGCTCCAAACCCTTCTGTGGCCCACTCTCCCAAGATGACTCTTCTCCAATGGAAGCAGTTCCCTCATCACAAAAGTGGATGTTCATAATAAAAATAAATGTGCAGGGACACTCGGGTGGCTGAGTGATTGAGCATCTGCCTTCAGCTCAGGGTATGACCCTGGGGTCCCAGGATCTAGTCCCACATCAGGCTCCCTTCAGGCTCTCCCTCTGCCTGTGTCTCTCTGCCTCTCTCTGTGTGTCTGCTATGAATAAATAAATAAGATCTTTTAATAAAATGTGCAAAAGGGAATAAAATCCCAGGTGAAGACAGTCTTGTAACACATACACACTCCTTATAAAGACACAGCTAGTTTAAATGTTTAATCTACAGGGCATTGAATACGGTAACCGTTTGTATACTCAGCCAAGTCCAGAAACCAGAATTCCTGTCCAAGAGCTGAAAGCTCTAACAGCTCTGCCTTTCCCTGAGAAGATAAACACCATTGCAGACACACAAAACCTGCATTTAGTTCTCATTAGACTGGGGCCTGTAAACAGCCCATTTGGCTGGTGGGCGTGGCTCCTGAGATGGCCAGGCTTGAAGTTCACCAGAAATAAAGCCAGCTCGTTATCAATCTTAGGGTGGGCATGGGTCTGTTTTGAGGTGACACACTTAACAAACAGCAAGCTCGGGTCTTATGCCTGATTTCCCCCTGCAGGTGAATGATCAGTATTGGCAAGGAGCTCCTGCCTGCCACAAAACAACAGCGATGTTATAATGATGAGGAAAAGTGCTGGAAGATTGCTCAGTAAATGCTTCTAGCACTTGTCCACTCGCAACTTTTGTTGTTAGTCTGCAATAAGGCACATAGATACACTGAGAGGATGTTTTTAGAAGTTTTCATAATAATTTGGCGGGGAATTTTATGTTTATTTAACAAAACCAGTATTTGTATTTTTTTTTAATTTTTTAAAATTTATTTATTTATGATAGTCACACAGAGAGAGAGAGAGAGGCAGAGACACAGGCAGAGGGAGAAGCAGGCTCCATGCACCGGGAGCCCGATATGGGATTCGATCCCAGGTCTCCAGGATCACGCCCTGAGCCAAAGGCAGGCGCCAAACCGCTGCGCCACCCAGGGATCCCAAAACCAGTATTTGTATTTGAAATATCTTTATTTTAGCTTTTTAAATAAGATTTTATTTATTTATTTATTTATTTATTTATTTATTTATTTATTTGAGAGAGAGAAAGAGACCATGTGTGAGAGAGACAGAGAGAGAGAGCATGAGCCCAGGGAGGGGCAGAGGGAGAAGCAGACTCCCGCTGAGTAGGGAGCCTGATTTGGGGCTCCATCCCAGGGGATGCAGGGCTTGATCTCAGGACCCTGGGATCATGACCTGAGTAGAAGGCAGATGCTTGACTAACTGACCCACCCAGGTGCCCTGAGGGAGAGAGTCTTAAGCAGACTCCTCATTGAGAATGGAACCCAAGTCAGGGCTCCATCTCAAGACCTGAAGGTCATGATCTGAGCTAAAACCAAGAGTCAGGTGTTTAACTGACTAAACCACACAGATACCCCTATTTTAGCTTTATATTAATTGATTTTTACTGTATTTTGCTAAAGTATCAGTCTGCTAATACTAGAAAACAACTTCTTCTTTTTTTTTTTTTTAGAAAACAACTTTTAATGGTCCACAGAGAGTTTGAGAAGTAGTGAAATAAACAATTGAAAAAAAACCCTATTCATTAAAAGATCCTCCAAGAGGAGAAAGATAAGCCACAGAATGAGAGAAAATATTTGCAACATATTATGAAAGTTTATGTAAAAAGAAATCCTACATTATGTAAATAATTTGAATCATTTAGAAAAATGGGCAGAAGACTTGGATAGACATTTTACAGAGGAAATGCAAGTGCCTGTTTAACATGTGGCAAGTGCTCAACCAGACAAATGAGTATTACAACTAAGTCAACAAAGGATAGTCACCAGATTGGCAAAAAGATAAGAGTCTCCCAATTCTGAAGGCTGGTGAGGATGCTGAACAACAAGAACTCTCAGACAAGAGAGTAAAGTGGTTGGAACACTTTAGAAAACTCTCTAGCAGAATCTGCTCATGCTGAAGACACACCTACTGCACGGGCAGTGAATCCACTCCCAGGAACCAGCAGAAAGATGTTCACATGTGAACTCAACAACTTGGATGAGAACAATCATGGCAGTGTAGCTTGTGATGACCACCAAATGAAAACAAGCCAAACGTCCACCAGCATGTTGGAGAAATAAATGGTGCTGTATTCACATTTAGTAAATAGCAGTGAAGACAACAAACCGTAGCTTAGGTGATGACATGGATAAGTTTCTCAGACAAGACAGCACCCTACTCTTGTCATGGTTCCCCTGTGGGATCTGCAGGACGTTCCAGAGACTGACTGTCCAATAAGTTCACTCACACTGTGGTGCTGGAGTCATTCCCCTCCATGGAGCCAGCCTCTGCTTGGTCCCCAGATATCACGGGGGTGGTGGTCAGGAAGTGGTCTCTGAAGGAGTCTTGGGGTAAGAGCAGCCCTGTGAGGTCAGGGAACAATTCAGAGTCTGGCATGAAGCCATAAGCCCACGTCAGGAATGGGGAGGCCAGGTCAGGCTGTGGCTAAGGACAGTGATTTCTGCTACTGGGAAAATCCCCAAGAGACTGGGCTGAGGTAGGATGAAGAAGCCTGTGACCTCCAGGTATGACAATAATGGAGTGAGGACATCTAAGGGAAGAAGATCAGGTTTCTGATGCTCAATGCTCACCTGGAGTCTTTTTAGTCTCAACTAAATATCTAGGTTCACATGACTGGCAGGAGCTGTAGGCCAGGAACGAGAGCAAGGCATCAGGGCAGCGACAGGCAGCTCTGGTCAGCAGAGCCAGGCCACCCAGCAGTCTTAGAGTATTCTCCTTGCCTCAGGGGCCAGGGAGCAGGACTTACTCGTGTTGTTGTGGGCACACCCTGGTTTCCAAGCCTGGTCCCACCCCCACCCCCCACCCCCAGAGCAAAAGCTCCTGTCACATACCATAGCAAAGCCAGTGAGGTCCCTGCAAGGGTCATGCCCTGTGACAAGATTCACCATACAGGGAAGCCCAGATTGCATCCCATGTTCATGACCAGTCCTCCTGGCCCTGTCTACCAATCTGGGGTCATTTCTTACCACAGGCATTATTTCGTGGTACCACATCTTTTTTTTTTTTTTTTTTTTTGGTACCACATCTTGATCAGATTTCTAACTTATTTAGAAAGTTAACCTCAAGTCAAGTGGAGATGTTGCCAGGTCCAGAACTCAGGGGAAAGGTCTAAAAGCCTCTTCCAAAGGGATCTCTGTGGAAAAGAGCCCACCCCAACCCATCCAGCACAAATACAGTGGCTCTGCTCACAGTGTGTGGGCGCCGGGCCGGAGCCCGGCGGGCAGCTTACCTTTCCCGCAGGCCTGCACCAGGCCGTACCACTCCCCACAGCTGTTGCACAGCAGGGTGAAGGCGGTTTCGTGGTGGCCCGTGACATGGCCCGGGGCGCACACATACAGCAGCTCGTCTCCCATCTCCAGGCCTGTGCGGCCCTGCAGGATGGTGTGTGGGAACGAAGGTGGGTCTCCACACGGCTTATCTGAGGAAAAGGAGTCACAGTGAGCTTTCCCAAATTATGGAGGAACTTTTGCAGCCTGGGAGAAAATAAGGTTAAAAGCAATTCTCCCCTCCCTGGGTCCTGCCTATACCCTGAGCTGGGATCACAGGGGCTATTTCCTCTTCACCCTGGCATCCCCAGAGCCTGGACAAATGCCCGGCACAAACGAGGCACTCAGAAAGATACCTGTTGAATGAATACATGTGCTACAAAGTGCTACAACTTTGTATTTTGAAATTGCCAGGCAACATTACCCTCTAATGTCTCCTTGAAAGGAAGACCCAGAAACATATGCCTAGCAGCAAGCTCCTTTTTGTCTTACTTACCTAAGTGAACAGGTACTCTGTCAAAAAGCTAAATGTGGGACACCTTGGTGGTTCAGCGGTTGAACATCTGCCTTCAGCTCAGGTCATGATCCCGGGTCCTGGGATCGAGTCCCGCATCGGGTTCCTTGCAGGAAGCCTGCTTCTCCCTCTGCCTGTGTGTCTCTGCCTCTCTCTGTGTTTCTTTCATGAATAAATAAATAAAATCTTTTAAAATATTTTTTAAAAAGCTAAAATGCTAAGATTGTAAAGTGCAGCAAAAGGTGCCTCTCCCTTTCCCCAGCCACAATTCTGACAGTGACACTGTTACCAGTTTGGTCTATACAAGTAAATACAGATAGAGGTATAGACAGACACTAACATACATGCACAGTTAGGTAGGCATAGACAGGTATGAATATGACATGATCTTATTTATGTTAAAAACCACATACACAGGTATTACTGATACCTGGTTTTTAAAAAACCTAGTTTTTAGAGCAGTTCATAGCACAATTGAGTAGAAAGTACAGAGAGTTCCTATACATCCCCTGTCCCCATACATGCACAGTCTGTCCAATTAGCAACATTTCACACCACATTGGCACCTCTGTCACAATCTTCAAACCTACATTGACACCTCATTATCACCCCAAGTCTGCAGTTTACATTTGGGCTCCCTCTGTGGGTGAGTGCCACGCTTAGATGTGAAGATGGAGAAGAGCCTGTGCCTAATCCCTGGAACCTCTGTCAATGCTTTGCCCTCATGCTGGCCCCAAGAGTCACTTTTGGGGCCCAGGTTTCCTTTTAGCGCCCCTGTTCTTTTATTTTTTATTCATGAAAGACACACAGAGGAGGCAGAGACACAGGCAAAGGGAGAAGCAGGCTCCCTGTGGGGATCCCGATGCGGGACTCGATCCCAGGACCCGGGAACATGACCGGAGCTGAAGGCAGATGCTCAACCACTGAGCCACCCAGATGTCTTGTTAAGTTCTAGTTCTCCTATGAGAATGTTTTTTACTGGTACATATTTTTATTTATTTGCTGGAAATGAGCCTTTTAGGAATGAATGTAGACTAGTTTGTATTAAGACTAAATAAATAAATAAATAAATAAATAAATAAATAGTAAACTTGCAAATTGCTTATGAAAAACCCAAGACTTCAGTCAGCAAGGGAACCTCTAAGGTGAGGGGGGAGGGAATCCAAGCTTTCCTGCTTCTGCATTGATTAGGAACCCTGGGGTGCAGCTCTTGTGAGACCCTTGGATTCAGAGCTCTGTGGGGCTGACCCTAACACAGAGCCCAGGCATGCGGAGTAACACTCTCACTGGTATTAGCTGGGGGAAGAGGTTAATGGTCACAGAGCTGGGGCCTGAGCCAAAGGTCAGACTTGCGCCTCAAGGTGGGCAGTGGACGCTCCGGCTGTGGCCTGAAGCGCCTCCCTACTGCATCCTCTCAGGTAGTGACCTAAATGTATACCATTTAAAGTATACATATCTTAGTGGGAAAGCTTCAAATGTCCCACCATTAAGTTCGATGCTAGCTGCAGGTTTCTGGTAGATGTTCTTTACACAGTTAAAGAACTGTGTGGTCTTCTGTTCCTAGTTTGCTAAGTTTGATCACGAACGAACATTGTTTTTTTTTTTAAATGTTTTTCTGCATCTATCAATATGATCACATGCTTTTTCTTCTTTAGCCTGTTGATGCCATGGGTTATATTCATTAATTTTTGAATATCTGGGCTAAATCCCACTCAGTTCTGATTTTTAATTCTTTTTCATGTATTACTATTTTCAAATTGCTAATGTTTTGTTGAGGATTTTTACATTTATATTTATTAGATATTGGTCTGTAGTTTTATTTGTAGTGACTTGTCTCATTTTGCTATGAGGGTAATGCTGGCCTCACAGAATATGTTAGGAAGTATTCCCTCTGCTTCTAACTTCTGGAAGAGATTGTCTTAACAACTGGTATAATTTCTTCCTTAAATGTTTGGTAGAATCTCTAGTGAACTCATCTGGGTTTGGTGTTTCGCAAGGTTATTAATTATTGATTTAATTTCTTTCCTTACACACTGGGCTAAAAACTAGAAGTCTGTTTCCCCCCAATGTTCTAGAGCTTTTTCTACATAGTACCATTTTTTCAAAGGCTATTCCAAAGCACATTATTTGGTCATTACGTAGACATTTTGTTGATTCTAAGGTTTCACTATGATAAACAATGCTACAAAATGAACGGCTCATATGTACATTTTGGTACATACTTTATTAAGATAAACTCCTAGAAGTGGAATTGCTGCATTAAAGTGATGTGGTGATGCTTTTTATTTTTTAAATAAAGGAGATAGTTTTTATTTTGAATTTCCTCTTCTAGTTTTATGTTGGAAAGGAAAGCTTTTAGTCCGTATGCAGTCAAATCACCTAAGAAGCATATTACTTAAGCTAAGAAAAGATGAAGACAGAAGACAGAACTTGTGTTTTAAGCCACCCTGAGTGGCCTGTCAGCTTGTAATTTTGGTAGCACTTTCTCAACGAGAGTCATTGCTATGCATGTTCTTTAAGAGAACAAGAGATTTGGAATGAAAATGGTGTGGTTGCCTTTTAAGGATGCTGGCACAGAGTGCTGCATTTTAACCCAAACTGTCTTGGCTGTGTTGCCCAGGAGATCAAGTGTTTGTTTCATCTATGGAGCAAGTAGGGCCAGGCAGCCATCTGAAAGTTGCCACAAATCCAGGGGTCCCTCCGCTGAGCAGAGACTCATCATCACTCAGTCTGAGCAGGGCATCCTGAGAAGAATGGACCAACTCCTCAGTCAAGCAAGGCTGGCCTGAGTTTCAGCTAGCACCTAGGGGCGACGGCCTCCATCTCTCTCTCCATCTTCCTTGGCTGGCTAGGACTCGTGCTGGACACCCCAATTTCTGTCCTCTTACCAGGACCTAATTCAAGGAAACTGGAGGCTCTTCATCAAACATTCACTATCAAAGGACCAGTAAATACTATCAGTCTCACACTGATACAGCTCTATCTGTAGGACACAATACCATCTCCTTGCAATGAAAATCCAGGAGCAGAGTAACTGTTCTCGGAGAGCATAAAGGGGAACTTCAGGCCAAATTCACATCCTACCAGATTCATGGGATCTTCTCCCTTGGAGTTAATTTCTAGAATGGTACAGGCTAGAATCTAGCTTGGGAAAACCACAATCATACTCCTGAGAGTCTGCGTACACAGACCATATAGTTCTGAATTTCCCACAAATGTTCAAGACAGGAAACACGCTGCTTCTTAGGTGGTGTGATTTCAGAAACTGTAGGACAACAGTTGTATGTGTTAACACAACCAAGTGCATGCCAAAAGCACCACTTATGTCCAGGCCCAACTTGAATTAATTCCTTTCATTAACCTTCCCATCTTAAACCTCACAAGGGAGCTCTGAAAAAAAGCTGGCTATATACCTAGATCCTATTCTCTTTAGAATAGGATGTAAGTTTAGAAACTTACATTTGGGCAGCCTTTACTGCTACTTCTCAATTATTCTGCAGCTAGGAACTGTGGTTTGGGAATTTCTCAGAACCTAAAGCTGGGTTTCAGCCATTTGAACATAAAGAGCAATTTCTATTATTTTCCCTTCAAAGAAAAGAGATTTTATAAAAGATCTTGTCCATAAAATAGTATTGATAAACAACTCATTTGCCAACCACAGCTTCTGATAACCAGTTTCCACAGGATTTAGAACTCATATAAAAGTTGATGCTTTTCTTTTGAAAAATCTTAAACTTATAGCCTCTCACAATTACTTTGCAAAACCAAGATGCAGAAATCCTGACACAAATGCTTGACCTTGCTTCCTTCCTTTTGGTGTTTTCTAAGCTATGTGAAGAAGCTGTCTTTAGTGTCCACCTGCCCAGCTCCCTACCACCCTACTCACCCCATATACAATTGGCACTGCCCTCTCTCTTCTGTCCAACTTTATTGTTAGTTCCCAGGCTTTCCATATCAGTGTTCCTCAAACTTGAACATGATCAGAATTACCCAAAGGCCTGTAACACATACACACCCCTTCTCACAGAGACTGCTGTGTTTTTGAGTTTCTAACTCAGTAGTTGGTCATAGTTAGGGCCCAAGAATTTGCATTTATAACAAGTTCCCAGGTGATGTTAACACTACTTGTCCAGGGACCATTCTTGGAGAACTAGTGCTCTAGACAAAAACCTACCCTCAAAAACAGGCAAAACTGATATATGGTGATGGGAATCAGAACAGAGATTTCTTTGGTTCTGCTGGAATGAGGAGGGGCAGTGAATCTTTGGAAATAGGCTCCAGGGAACTTTATGGGGTGAAGGAAATGTTCTGTATCTTGACTTCGTGTTGATTACACAGGTGTACACATTTGTCAAAACTTATCAATCATAAGATCTTTGCATTTTGTTGGTATAAATCATACTCCACAAAATAAGTTAATTTAAAAAATATCTCCCCTTCAGAAAAACTGCAACTTATTCAGCATGAAGTATAAATGAGTAAAAATTATTCACAACCTCTCCCAAGGGGAACTGAATTTGACAAGGACCGGTGCCTTAGGGGAGTGGTTTCTAACTTGCAGACTTTCTAAGCGGGGAGTACTGCAAGTGTCTGGGCAAGTTTATATGCAGTTAAATTCTATATCAATTGATACATTTA